TAGTTTCACTTTCTGTAAGTTCACTATTGGTGTAAAGAAATGCCATGGATTTCTTAGCATTAATTTTGTATCCTGCTACATTGCCGAATTCATTTATTAAGTCTAATAATTTTTTGATGGAGTCTTTAGGGTTCTGTATGTACAGTATCATGTCATCTGCAAATAAGGACAGTTTTACTTCTTCTTTTCCAATCTGGATGCCTTTTATTTCTTCTTCGTGTCTGATCGCAATGGCTAGTACTTCCAGTACTATGTTGAACAGGAGTGGTGAGAGGGGGCATCCCTGTCTTGTTCCTGTTTTTAGGGGGAATGGTTTTAGTTTTTGCCCATTGATTATGATGTTGGCTGTGGGTTTGTCATATATGGCTTTTATTATGTTGAGGTATGATCCCTCAATTCCTATCTTGCTGAGAGTTTTTATCAAGAAAGGGTGTTGGATTTTGTCAAATGCTTTTTCCGCATCAATTGATATGACTATGTGGTTTTTCTCTCTCAATTTGTTTATGTGATGTATCACATTTATTGATTTGCGGATATTGTACCATCCTTGCATCCCTGGGATAAATCCTACTTGGTCATGGTGTATGATCTTTTTGATGTACTGCTGGATCCGATTTGCTAGGATTTTGTTGAGGATTTTGGCATCTATGTTCATGAGGGATATTGGCCTGTAATTCTCTTTCACTGTATTGTCTTTATCTGGTTTTGGGATTAGGGTGATGTTGGCTTCATAGAATGAGCTGGGAAGTGCTCCTTCCTCTTGGATCTTTTGACATAGTCTGAGGAGGATAGGTTTTAGGTCTTCCTTGAATGTTTGGTAAAACTCCCCTGTGAAGCCATCTGGCCCCGGGCTTTTGTTTGCTGGAAGCTTTTTGATTACTGCTTCGATTTCCTCCATAGTTATTGGCCTATTGAGATTTTTAGATTCTTCCTGGTTAAGTTTTGGAAGGTTGTATTTATCTAGGAATATGTCCATTTCCTCCAGGTTGTCTAGTGTGTTGGAGTAGAGTTGTTCATAGTATTTTCTAACAATCCTTTGTATTTCTATGGGGTCTGTTGTTATTTCTCCTCCTTCATTTCTGATTTTGTTTATTTGGGTCCTCTCTCTTTGTTTCTTGGTGAGCCTGGCTAGAGGTGTATCAATCTTGTTTATCCTTTCAAAGAACCAGCTCTTGGTTTTGTTGATCTTTTGTATTGTTTTTTTGGTCTCTATGTCGTTTATCTCCGCTCTGATCTTTGTTATTTCCTTCCTTCTGCTTACAGTGGGCTTTTTTTGTTGCTCTCTTTCTAATTCTTCGAGTTGTAGAGTTAGGTCATTTATTCTCATTGTTTCTTGTTTCTTGCAGTAGGCTTGTAGAGCTATGAACTTCCCTCTCAAGACTGCTTTTGCTGTGTCCCATAGGTTTTGGATTGTTGTGTTTTCATTGTCATTTGTTGCCATGATGTTTTTTATTTCTTCTTTGATCTCACTGGTGACCCAGTCGTTGTTTAATAGCATGCTATTTAGTCTCCATGTGTTTGATTTTTTTGGATTGTTTTTGTTGTAGTTGATTTCCAGTTTTATGCCTTTGTGATCTGAGAAGATACTTGATATGATTTCAATTTTCTTGAATTTGAAGAGACTTTGTCTGTGACCCAATATATGGTCTATCTTTGAAGATGACAAATGTGCACCCGAGGAGAATGCATATTCTGTGACTTTGGGGTGAAATGTTCTGAAGATGTCAATTAATTCCATCTGATCTAGTGAGTCATTTAGGATTGATGTTTCTTTGCTGAGTTTCTGTTTAGAGGATTTGTCCAGTGGAGATAATGGGGTGTTAAGATCCCCTACTATGATTGTATTGCTGTCAATCTCTCCCTTGATCTTCTCCAGAAGATTTCTTACGTATTTGGGTGCTCCTATATTGGGTGCATATATATTTACCAGAGTTATTTCTTCTTGTTGGACTGCTCCCTTTAGTATTATGAAGTGGCCTTCTTGATCTCTTTTTATGTCCTTCACTTTGAGATCTAATTTGTCAGATATAAGTATTGCTACCCCGGCTTTTTTTTCACTTCCATTGGCCTGAAAAACCTTTTTCCATCCCTTCACCATCAGTCTGTGTGCGTCTTTTTTTGTGAGGTGGGTTTCCTGTAGACAGCAGATATATGGGTCATGTTTTCTTATCCACTCATTTACCCTATGCCTTTTGACTGGGGAATTTAATCCATTTACATTTAAAGTTATTATTGATAGAAACTTGTTAGTCGCCATTTTTGTTCTTTACCGCTGCGTTCCTTCTTTGTTTCCTGTTTTTTCTATTTACAGCAGACCCTGTAGCATTTCTTGCATTGCTGGTTTGGTTGTAATAAACTCCCGTAGACCGTTTTTGTCTGTGAAGCTCCTGATTTGACCCTCAATTTTGATTGATAGCCTCGCTGGGTATAGTATTCTTGGATTCAGACCCTTCCTTTGCATGACTTTGTATATTTCATTCCATTCCCTTCTTGCCTGATGTGTTTCTGTTGAGAAATCAGTCGCTAGTCTGATGGGGGATCCTTTGTAGGTAACTTTCTGTCTCTCTCTGGCTGCTTTTAAGATTCTTGCTTTGTCGTTGGTGTTTGCCAATTTAATTATTATGTGCCTTGGTGTCGGTCTTTTCGGGTTCATTTTGTTTGGGACTCTGTGAGCTTCTTGGATTTGTGTGAGTTTTTTCCTCCCTATATCAGGGAAATTTTCTGTTACTATTTTTTCAAACAGGTTTTCTATTCCTTGCTCAGTTTCCTCTCCTTCTGGCACCCCTATTATTCGGATGTTGTTTCGTTTAGCATTGTCCCAGAGTTCTGTTAGGCTCTCCTCCTCCTTTTTTTTCTAGAAGCTGTTCTGTTTGGGTATTTTTTTCTACCTTGTCTTCTAGCTCGCTGATGCGGTCCTCTGCTTCTTCTAGTCTACTGTTGATGCTTTCTATTGAGTTCTTTATGGCAGTGATGTCGTTTTTCATTTCTTCTTGGTTTCTCTTCATTTCCTCTTGGTTCTTCTTCATTTCCTCTTGGTTCCTACACATATTGTTGAATTGGTCTTCCATTTTTTTCATCCACCTTATGACCATTACTCTGAATTCTTTCTCTGACAGGTTGCTTGCCTCCATTGCCTCCATTTCGTTTACTTCCTTTTCTGGTGACGCCTGTTTTTCTCTCATATTTGGGTTGGTTCTTTGTTTCACCATGATTTCTCTTCTCAAGGTGTTTGGTTATATAGTTCTCTCTCTGCTGCGCTGATTCAAAGGCACAAAATACAACACAACAAGGCACAACGTACAAGGCAACAAACTAAATGCATTCACGATATTAATAACCCCAAATAAAGGTGACCCCCCCGAGCGAAGAGAATTAGGGGATATAGAAGAAAAAAGAGAAAAAGAGTAAAGAGAAAAATAAAAAACAAAAAGGAGTGCCGAAATGAGATTGGGAAAAGGGAGAGAAGAAAAAAAAAAAATACAAAAAAAAAAAAAAAAGTAAGAGAATGAAATAGAGGTGGGGAAGAGGCTATTTGTATGGGGAGAGCGAGGGATTGGAAATTAGATATATAAGTAGGGTGAAATTTAGACAGTGGTTAGAAAGAAGGAATAAGTAAAATCCAAACCAGGAATAGGGTAAGAGAAACAGGACAACAAAAGGGGAAAAGTGAGGAAGAGAGTGTTGGCTTAAGGGTAAATGTGAGCTAGAGAGAAATGATGCTAAAGGAACGATGAAAATAGTGTGTATAACACTAATCCCAAAATAAAATAAAGAAAAATTAAAAAAATAATAAAAAATAAAATGACACTTGAAAAAATGGTAAAAGGATAGCAATAATACTGGTTAAAAAAATGTAGTAATTAAAAAGGTAAAATCAAGTGATGAAAAAAATAAAAAATAAAATAAAATAGGTTCTTAATGAAATGGTGAAAAAAGAATTTTAAAAAAAATATATATATATATATAAAAATATTCGGAAGTGAAGGTGCTTCAGATCTTCCACTCTTCTTTTTGGCACGCCTCAGTCCTGCCAGGCATTCAGGGGAGTGTTGAACTTCCCTGCGATACACTGTCCCTCTGTGCAGTAAACCACAGACCTGATTTTAAGGCAGCTTGTATTTGTTTACCAGACTGCCTTTATTTGTGATCGCAGAAGAGACAGTTCGTGGCTCTGCCTCTGGGTGGCAGTGTGTCTGGATTGACCTCCGAGGCTATAAGTCCTCTCTATCAGTAGGGGTTTTTTTTGTTTGTTTTTTTTTTCCTCTATGGTATTGGGAACTGATTCAGGAAAGACCACTGCCCAGAGCTGGTTCCTTGCCACTGCCCGCTGTTTCCCAGGCTCCCCAAAAAGAACTTTCCCCTACAGGCTCTGTGAATGACCCCAACTGGGGAATCCCATGCACTGGGTTTAATAATCAAATGCACGGATCTAAGGGGAACTGTAACAAGAGCCTGATAGTTGTGCGAATTCGCAAGCCTCCACCTTCCAGGTCTGCGCACAGTCTCCGCGCTCAGTCTCCGCGCGCTCACTCGCCCCTGGCACCAAGCAGCCAGCAGATTGGCAAAGTCCAAGGCTGCTCCCTTACATCCAGTCCAGCTTTGGGCTCATTTTTCGCGTTCCCTTCTGCCAGCAGCCCTGTGGGGCCCCTTCCCCACTCGCGGGTCACGCTGGTCCCAACGGCTGCAGATTCTGTGGGGCGCAGATTCCGCCCCGCGCGCGCGCGAGCTCGGTCCTCCCTCCAACCCGAACTTCAAACCGCACCTTTAGGGGATGTCCAACCTTTCCGTGAGAAGAAGCAGTGCTCGTCTGAGTTCAGGCAGTGACGCTGCTTGAGATCCCTTGTTTCCAGGTTAGTAGCTGGTCTCTGGATGCCGGCAACAACCACCCAAGATGGCGCAGTCTCCACTGCTTAGCTGGCGCACCACGAGAGGCTTCAGCCGCAGTCTCCAACCGTCCTTTTTTTCCTGGGGGTTCTCGGTCTTTCCTAGCTGCAGACAGTCTCTCAGCTGAAAATCCCCTGCCTATTCGGGCTGCATGTTACCCGTTTCAGCTGCTCACCCTTATCTGCTCCAGGACAAGGCACAGGACACGTCCGTTTATACCGCCGCCATTTTTCCTCTCCCTGAATTTGGACTATTATGAAGCTAACTGTTGTAAGTAATTAAAATAAATTAATGTTGGGAATTAAAATCAGTAGCATTTGAAAGTTCCAACCTTCACTCACTCCCCTGGCTGATCCTTGTGACATCGCCATCAGGGGCCTTTTAACTGTGTCCGGCCTTGGTCACGACAGTCCTGGCCCGCGGTGAGAAAACAGGAGTGGACTGCAGCTTTGCCTCACCATCTGCCGTCTTTTCAAATGTTTGTTTGAAGAGAAATGACCTGTGGAATCACACTTCACTGTGAGTGGCACCAAGCAACCTTTCAGAAGAGGCCTTGGCCATCCGGTGAAGCCGATCAGAGCTCTCCCTCCAGGGGGCGCCATCCCCACGCAGTCCCTGGGCACAGCAGCCCAGTCCAGGGACAGGCAGGTGCTCACACCACCTTTGCCAGCATGACTCAGACTCCTACATTTCTTACCGAAGAGATTCTTCTGTTGATGAGTTAAGATAATACCTTTTTATATTTGTTATGTCATGCTTTTTCTCATACTTACCTGTTGGAGAAATAAATTGGAATTCTGCCTCATGAAAGTAAAATTTGGCATATGACACAATATATAGTAAAAAGATAATTTCACTGATTAAAAAGTTACCTTATTAATATTGGAACAGTTTGTGTCTATTCAGCGACATCCTCTCTATTCATCGTTAGTGTCCAACAATAATTATTCATAGTATCATGGTTTTCCCCACAGCAACCACATGAGTGGATAAGCGTGTATTTCACCCTTTTCATGGATGAGGAAACTGAGCCTGGGACTGACAGGTAGCTCTCTGAAGGTCACATGTGCAGCAGAAGGTGACAGTATTCCCCTGCAACTGACTGGGCACAGGTGTCCTGGGCCTGAGCCTGAAGACCCGCTCCCGCTGGGGAGGGGCAGTGGGATGCACACGGCCGCTGCCCCAGGGGCACTCGGTCGCCTCTCAGCGACCTCCTCCTCATATTGAGCTCTCCTGCTGCATTTCTCTGCTCTGGGCCCAGCACCATCGCACATTGTCTGGACCAGGGGTGGGCAAACTTTTTGACTCGAGGGCCACAATGGGTTCTTAAACTGGACCGGAGGGCCGGAACAAAAGCATGGATGGAGTGTTTGTGTGAACTAATATAAATTCAAAGTAAACATTACATAAAAGGGTACGGTCTTTTTTTTTTTTTTTAGTTTTATTCATTTCAAACAGGCCGGATCCGGCCCGCAGGCCGTAGTTTGCCCACGGCTGGTCTAGACCAGTGGTCGGCAAACTGCGGCTCGCGAGCCACATGCGGCTCTTTGGCCCCTTGAGTGTGGCCCTTCCACAAAATACCAACTTGTGCACATGGGCCACGAAGTTTCAGTCGCACTGTACGTGCGCGCCCGCACGTGGTATTTTGTGGAAGAGCCACACTCAAGGGGCCAAAGAGCCGCATGTGGCTCGCGAGCCGCAGTTTGCCAACCACTGGTCTAGACTGACTGCTTCACCTCCGTGGTTCCCTGGATGTAAGCACCTCCCTTTGTTCACACGAGGCCCCAGCCATTAGCACAGTGCTGGCGGGAGGTCCTGCCAGCTGCTTCCTGAGCCAGTGAAGACAGGGTGTCCCCGACACAGCACCTTCCTGACCCCCTGTTCCCCGGCGCCCGGTGCGATGGGTGGACTGAATGCTTAGAATTGTCTCTGGGAAGTGAGACTAAGGATCATCTTTCTATTTCTCTCTGCCACTATATTTTCTGCATTGAGCTGGTATTACTATATAATTAAATTTTTAAAGGAGTTGACTTTTATGACATATAGAAAAAAACTAGAGGAGAAGTGCTGAAGTCATTCTGTAAGGTACTTCTAGGTCTTTCCCCCTCTTGCACAAGCTTTTTGTAATATTACTGCTGTTACATTTTGAAGACTTTTTTTTAAAATGCATGTTAACGTAGGAAGAATACGGTGCCTGACATATCAGTTCAAAAACAAATGATCTCTATTTTCACAAACAGCGGGCTTGGGTGCCCTGGTCTGGGGCGAGTCAGCCTTCACGTTCTCCGCATCGGTGGTCTTCTTAACCGCTCAGTCACTCCCCCTCACGCACTGCCTCGGGCGGCGCTGTGGTCAGCCTTTGGAGAAAGGTCGGGCTGGAAGAAGGTTTGGGTGTTGTTAATCCTCATTCGAGGATATTTCTCCATTGATTTTTAGAGAGAGTGGAAGGGAGGGGAAGAAACAGAGAGAAACGTCGGTGTGAGAGAGCCACATCAATTGGTTGCCTCCCGCATGTGACCCAACCGGGGGCGGGGATCAAGCCTACAACTGAGGTACGTGCCCTTGACCAGAATCAAACCCAGGACCCTTCAGTCCACAGGCCGACGCTCTAGCCACTGAGCCAAACCGGCTAGGGCTGGAAGGAGGTTTTTGAAATATGACTTGTTTTTACACAGAAAGGATCTTACTTAAATGTGGTAACCTGTGAAGAATGCTCAATATCATTTCCCATTAGTGAAATGAAAATTAAAGCCACAATGATATCCACTACACACATCTTAGAATGGCTAATGGTTTTTTAATTGGCAATATCAAGGACATGGAGGAATTAGAAATTTCATACCTTTTTTGGCGGGGTTTCTTAGAAGTTTAAACATGCACTTACTACTCGACCCAGCTCTATCATTCCTAGGGTGTTTTTTTTCCAAGAGAAATGAAACATATGTCCACACAAAGACCTGTATGCAAATGTTAGAGGATTTATTCATAATTGCCAAAACTGGAAACAACCCAAGTGTCCACAGAATGGGCTACTACTCAGCAACAAAAGGGAACAAACTACTGATATGCAACAATATGGATGAATTTCAAAAGCGGGACTCTCAGTGAAGGGAGCCGGCACAAAAGGCTGCAACGCACGACTCTATTTACATGACATCGGAGAAGGCAGAACTGTGGGAACACATCAGACCCGTGGTTGCCAGGGCTGGGGAGGAGATTGGCCACAAATGGCAACTTTCCATCATGATAGAAATATCCCATGTCTTGACTATGCTAATGGTTATAGGACTGTCTGTGGCTGTTATTGTATGTACATTCTAACTCAATAAACCCGACTTAGTGTTATGTAGGCCCTCGTCAGGTAGCTCAGTTGGTTAGAACATTGTCCTCAGACACTAAGGCACCAAGATTTCAGGCTCTATCCCCAGTCAGGGCACATATAAGAAGCAATCAGTGAATGCATGAATAAGTGGAACAACAAATCGATGTTTCTCTCTCAAAAGAGTAATATGTAGTAGATGGATGTAAAGAGTGATGAACATCTTTGACTAAACAACAAGACAAATGATTAGTTCTCTAATTGACAAATATATTTATCATGACATGTAGCTAATTACCTGTTGTGTGACTTGTGCATCATTTTCACCCTTCTGGTCATAGGGAATAATACAGAGCCTTTAGTTAATGTTCATGGCAGTTGCTGAGTGATTGAAACTGAGAAGCAGAATTTCCTATGAGAGTGGAAGCATTTAATAGTTAACCAAAGCAGGAAGCTTGGACTGTGGGTGGTAACCAGCAAATGCAGCTACGCTGGGGGCAGGTGGAGACTTCTCGGTGACCCTCCTGAAGTAACGATGGTGACTGGAATGGCGTCTAGCTCCTGCTTCCTCTGTCTACTGCTCGAGCCTCACTCCGGTGGGTTGGAGTCTGAATTCGCTTGGTGACCAATTTCCCGAAGCTGGTGTGCCAAGATGAGCCCACTTGAAAACTGTGGGCTCTTGGTCTTGGCTGCGAGGCCGTCCAGCTGAGGTGGGTGGCCCCGCATCTGCTGCCGCATTGTGCTGCCTGCTGCCTCCATCTGCTTTCTGTCAGAGCCAGTGCCAGCGAATCACTAATCTATTAGAGAAACATGAAATCAGAGCGCACACTCGTCCTGGCTTGGCCTCTCCTGTGCTGCTTGGCTCACATGTTTGCTTTTTGTTTATTTGGGGGGGAGGGGGGGAGATATGCTATCAAGTAGGCAGAGAGTCTGGGGCATGAGTCATTTTTCACTCCTTCCCACACGTTTTAAAAAGATTATGGGGAAAATCCTATTAATGGTTATTGATAACAATTGTTGGTGGTAAGAGTTCCTACTATTCAGAGGTGACTGCCCAGCACTGGACCAGTCGGTTTCTGCCTGTGCCCCATTACCGGCATGACTTACAGACGTCCAGACTGATGTCCAAAACATTGAGTAGCTTGTCCAAGTTATGCCGCTAGGAAGCATCAGACCGACTCGAGCCCGGATTTTAGAGCCCGTGCTGTAGTCACTGCTGCCCTAAGCCGTCGAAGCCGTTAGAACCCATTGTCCTGTGGGCAGCAGGACAGCCACAGCCTCCAGGAGAAGAAAGGGGGACTCTGCATTTCTCCCACCAGGTAGCGGCCTCTGTGACTGGGACATGGGAACTGACATGTGAATTCCAGGTGCCGCATTCGGTGGCTTTCTGAGCACCTGTGTGTACGTGTTCCAGGCACAGGGCTGTGCTCTAATGAGTGACCCCCAAGTCCAGAGCGCTTCCTGCTCTGAGACAAAGTCCAGCTGCTGAGTTGAGCAAAGCCCTGAAACACAGCTCCTCGCTAGTGCATACCTGACGGGGAAGGTTGGAAGCAAGCTGCAGGTGACAGCCTCTCGGTCATTGCTCCTGTGTTCATTCAGGTACAGCTCAGCTGCCCGCTAAACCCAGGTGCGAAGCCAAGTGGCGCACCTGTCAGGTCCAGCTGTGAGCGAGGTCAGCAAATCGGAGCCTCCTTCCCTGATGAAACTGCCAGGGGCCTCATCTGCCACAACCACGTCTAAACATCTGTTTTCTGAAAGGAGTGAAGTGTCATTTCATTTCCTTCGAAAGCAAAGAGGACATATGTTTTCACTGCATAAAGTTTCTTAGCAAATGAGTCACCAAATGGGTGCTGGGGGAGGGTGGAAACGAGCTAGAGAAAGAGCATGAAAATGTGAATTAATTTCATTTGCATCCAAACTGTGAGTGAGTTTCCTTATTTTTAATAAAGTGAGAGCCAGAAAGGAGCCCTGGATATCACTGACGTCGTCACATCCTGTGGGAGCCAGGCATGTGAGGTCAGGAGGGGAGAAGTCTTGTCTGCTCACAGGAAAGTTCTGGCTGCTGGGGCGCTGGGGATGCAGGGAACCAGGCAGGTCGCTGCAGCGCGCCCACGGCTCTGCGTCCCTCCCGCCAGGGTGGTGAGCAGAAGGTGCCCTTCCCGCCGAGGTGGTGACGGGAGACAGACCTTCTGTGTGGTCCTGTGGGGTGGGAGGTTCAGCAGCAACTCAAGAGCTTTTCATAAAGATGGTGGGAATTGATGAGCAGTGAATGTTTTTTACTTTTCCTTGAAACAGTGTAAGCCTGATTGTTTCTGTAAAGGCAGCTGAATTGGAGGAGCTGGCCAGGAGATACTGGCCCGTGCCCCTGGTGGCCGCTGAGGGGTTCATGTCAGCCTGTTCTGTTCCTTCTGGCCTCTCACTGTCCGCTGCCGACATTGCCAGTGCCTTACTGCTCCTGTCTGCCTTCCAGAGGATGGTCAGGGTCAGGCAGCGCTTCAGCAGGTCGCTATCTGTGCTGCGGGGCCCTTTGCTAGCCTGGCCCAGGATTGATCTCCAGCAGCTGGCA